TTTGTTTTGTTTTTTTTTTTCTCAAAGAAACCAATGTCATATGTAAAGGAAAGTCTTGATTGTTTTACTTTTAATCATCCATTATTCTTATATTTTTCTTTGTTTATTATATTATAATATTTGTAAAGTTATTTATATACAGTATGTATTTAATATACATATTTTTATAATCTTTTGTTCATATTTGTTTATCTTTAAGATGAGTTATGGCATACAAGGATTTTTCTTTTTTCCTTTTTATTTAAAAAAATTGTTTAGCAAGTGTCAGGATACCTCACTAAGACTTAAATATATTAAGAACATTTAATGTATTGTATTTGTTAAATTAATTATAGTGGCATAATTCTAATCTATTTATATCTAAGCGTAACGTTTATTTGTTGTTTTACAAAAGTGGTTGTAATTTTCAGAATTAGATGAAAGCAGTTTTGTGATGTTTATTTTGTTTATCTTTGACTAGTGGCTCATTATCACTGATTTTTTTATCTATATTCAAAGATTATTTTAGTAACATTTGGTATGAATTTTATTCCTTTACATTTTCTTATTTATTAATTGCAAAGTAATTTAATTTCAATTTTGTTGAAAAAGCATTCCCAATTATAATGTTATTTTGTTTCGTTTTTACTACTAGTCAATTTTGTATTATTATTTATCTTTCAAATATTTTAAAAACAGCAACAACAATAATAATAAAATATTCTCATATGATTGATAATAATTTTATACGTTATTATTATTTTAAAAGTTTAGCAATATATTGGCACATTGATGATGATCTGTTTACTCCAACATCCAGTGTAATATATATATATATATATATATATATATATATATATCCCCCAGAGAGAACTGGTGCAGGCTAGCTGCCCTTGATAAGGATGAAAGGAGTCTCTCTGAGCTTTGGTTAGCAATCCTTTTAGTGTTGGTTTCACGATAAAAAGATTTCAGATGGGAAGGAAAACTCATGACTCGGTCATTATATTGAATGTGTCTGGCAAGAGGCATGTACTGGCTGGTATTGACTGTGATCCAGAGAGGTTAAACTCTGTAATAATAACACATGAAGACTGTCATTTGGAATTTCCATGGCAAGTCTTTTGCACCATTACTTTTTTATCGACAGATCCAAAAATTGTGGTTGGTCCGACACAAGCCTTCACCACTTGAAACAAATCATTGTGTTGGTTTTCTGACAACTACATCTAATTAGTTTCACACATATCTGGCTACTGCGAAAAACTGTACTGTTTGTGGTCTTTTGTGCAATTCTCGAGCCAGTCTCAAAAGTCATGCCCGTCATAGGCATGCAGATAATTAGTTAGTGGTCATCAGAACCTCATGCATCGAATTCAATGGGAGAATCCATCATATATATAAACATTTGTTGTTTATAAAGAATAATCTAAACTAGTATTTTCTATAGAGAAAATATCTTTCTAAGTTTTGTGGCATATCTTTCACTAAATTGCACTTTTTAACATAAATTCTCATATTTTTGTTCATTTCTATTTTTACCCACTTAGACATTTCTCTTTTCATTTAAATGATAACATTTGGAAATACATGGAGAGTGTGAAAAAAAAATTTAAATGTGTGTATTGGATGTTGTTCAAAGTCAAATGATTTGACAGGTTGGAAGGATGGTTCTTTTATTATTATTTTTTTTAAACTTAGTTTTATTTTATATATTTAAAAACTATCCACAGTAAAACTTTAATGACATATCAATCAAGTATTTTTTTATTTGGAAACAGATTGTTCTCTTTGCTTCTTGTTAGTAAGTCACTCAGCATTTTCTAGGCAAAATAATGAATAGCAAAATAACTGAATTATTGCAGAATTTTTCTGACATTGCTTTTAAATATAATGTACATTTTTTTTTATGTATGCAAAAGAATGTCAACCTTACATATTTGCAATATGAGGTAGGAAGACATCCATGAGCATGTTCAGGAAAATTGTCATTCAAAATCTTGTCCCCTACCTGGATAACCCATTAACTGAAGCAATTGATCCATAAAACTGTGATCACAGCTGATCATCCACAGTTAATGGGGTAATCCATCAAATATCAAAAGCTTAGAGTGACAGAATTTCAAATCTGAAATATTTTCACCTCAATTTAAAATCAAAGTTATCAATTTCTATAAATTCCTAAACAAAATGCAATGAGTTGGTTTTTGTTGTGTATGATACACCTAATTTTCGGACTAAACATATAAAATGCAATACCGGAAGATCCTGGGAGGATAGTAGAGATTAAGAAATTGAATCCAGAATTTATTTTTTAATTTAGTCAACCGATTAAACAGTCTTCCCAAGAATATACCAAACTAACTGTAAATAACCTATTCTTTGTTTCAATACATTTTGTTAACGAACATTTTGTGTTGTATTATTTATTTTCTTCAACAGTTTTTAATTTATTTTTTAATTTAGCATTAAAAATCCTTAGTAGATAAGATAATTCAGAATTCATCTTTTCTGCAACTTTCATTAATTAGTTCTGAGTTTAAATTAATTCTGCACCCCAAATTTTACAGTCTGATTCTCAAAATTTAATGATCTTCATATAAAGTTTTTGTAATTAAATCCTAAAATTATGTTTCCCGTATAGAATGTGAGAAAATCTTGCAATGGTTTTGATACAAATACTAGCATTTTGTATTTATTTAGTGAAGTTGGAACCTTTTCAAGAACCTGAAGAAACTAGTAATAAAGCCTTTGTCTTAAAATGAAGCCTTTTGAGTAAAAACAAAACTTTTACTATTTCTAACCTTTTGTTTCTTTGATTTCAAAGATGCACACATCTGCTGTTACCTTTTGATGAATCTTCAATTGCCTTTCAAGTTATTCACATTCCATTTACTTTTAGTGAGCACATCTGTTGATATGGGCACAAAGCCACCTTTATGCAGAAATTCTCTTGCCTCTCTTCAATTTTACACTTGCTGCAATTCAAGTCTACAGATTTCACTTTGTGTTTATGCATGTGAATTAAGTCTATGAGTCTTTTATGAGTTTGTGTTTGAAATGGTAAAAAAATATTGTTTGTTTTATCTGTTTACCTTCCTGCATGTTTTGTTTTGATCTGGGTTTGAGGTAGGGGAACCTTTACTATTTCTGAAAACTTTGATCTAGGTAACTTGAGGTAAGGGGAAACTTTATTTCTGAAAACTAAAGATACATTTATTACTTCCTTTTGTGAATACAAGAAAGGATGAGGTCTGTACCATAAAACATAAGCAACAGATATTTTCAGACAAATTGTTTTCAGCTGTATACATCCAATGATGTTTTTAGGGACTGAAATCCTAGACATTTTATTAATAATACAAATTTGTTACATAATCAGCTAGTAAACTCATTAACTTTTTATTTATTAAATTTACTCAAAAAGGATTTCTTTTTACCAAATTTACTCTGAAAGGATTTTCTTAATGATTAACATTGCATGACTACATATTCTTGCATTTAACATTACATTATCATTGTATTCAGTGTCAAAATCTTCAGAAAATTATGTCAAGGTAAGTTACTTAGTCTGGCATAAGACCACAAGTGTGGGGTACCCAGTAGAAATTAAATTTATGGCATTTATTAATGATTTGTAAGATTAACTTGCTAATAACTACTGCCTTATATCAAAGAGCTTCACTTTCCTTTGCCTCTTATTATTATTATTAGTAGTAGTAGTAGTAGTAAATAAAAATTCAGTGGCCACAGGCGTGATGTCAGACACAATGATGTGACATCAACGGAGCTTGTGGAACATTTTATTACAAAATACTGTAATTTTGACAAACATCTTAATGTGCACATTCTGAAAAAATATTCAGAATCTACCAACCTATTGACCCTTAAAACACACAAAGTTGGTTACATATGCAAACTACTATCTTCCCACCCTGGGAGAATGAACAGAATAACAGGAGAGTTCCATAAGATTTATACTAAGCTGTTTGATTAATTCCTCTTAGAAACTAATCAACTAACAGAAAATTCTAAGATGAACAAGATCACCATCATATTACTGTTATATAGGAATGAAATGTTGCTGCCAACACTGGAGTTTGAATACAGATAACCAGAGAGCAAACACAGGCAATCCCATTTCTAATAAGTGAACCATGTGATTGTAAAAGAAATGTATATATGGGAATTAGAGTAACATCTAATTGATCACCATTTCTATTCTATCCTCTATTCCTATACAGATCACTCTTTCTACACTATCCTCTATCTCTATACTATTCACTATGCTATTTCTCTATGCTGATGACTATACAGATTACTATTCAGTGGTTACTTTTCGAATAAGTATTATCAAGCAAGTACTATTAGTGCATTATTTGAAGATGTCTGACACCAATATTGTTCAGCAGCGTTACTGTAGTTTTATCTACAATTACAAAGTTCTTACTATGAGCAATACAAAAGTGGCAACGAATATTTGTTGACATTACAAAAGTGGAAATGAGTGTTTGTTGACATCACAAAAATTATGCACATCATTTCATTTGCATAGCATTCACGCTGGCGGCGTTTGATTCATTTTGACGCATTCATTACCAGTACACCCATTTTCTCAAGACAAGTGACGTTTGTACAAAGACTTATAATTTTTTGTAGACGTTTTTAATATTTTTATACTTGTATGCAAATTTTAAACCCATCTTGAAGAAGACAGACGTACTATTAAAATATTGAACCTTGTCAAACATCGTCTAAAATCACGCTCTTCTCCAAGTGTTGAAAAATGTTGGAAGTGTTACATCAATCATTTTGTTATTATAATGTTGTGTTTCTAGCTAATTTATTTCAGTGTGAGTCAATTGATTTGAAACCAGTGAATGAAGAAAGAAATATGAGTCATTCACCAAATGTAAATAGATTTGAACAGATGTATAAATATCATAAGACCACTTACTTCTGTTATAAATGTTTTAAATTTTCATTTTGAAAATAATTCATTTTTGTACTTTTAAAATTTGCAGATGTCCTTCCACCATTTGTTGTTGCATATGATGACCTGATGAAAGGAAATTTGGCCAAATATGTGTCTTTGTCAACCCAGATTGAAGGCAATGTCAAGTGTCAGGTAAGTACTCTTTTATGAATTGAGGTGACAATTACTCAGGTGGGATTTACAAGCTGAAAGAGAAATTGGAATACAGTAAGAACCATGAAATCATGGGTCTGAAATGCAATTCTTTGCAGTAGATTTAAATTCTTAAGTTTTTGTTTTTTGTACATTTACTTAGGCACTACCTCCTCATTCATTCAAGGAGTTCAATTATCTGAACAGAATTTAGAATTATTGCTTTATTCAAACAAATATCAATAACTGCTTTACTTTGGAGTTAATAAATAAAGTTTTCCATAATTAATTCTTGTGCATGTACCAAAGAAAAGTGAAAAGAATAAATTTGTTTGTCTATATAAAGGACATGAAATTAACTGCCACGTTGGTCCTGATCTAGCATCTTCGGCCTATGACCACATCACTTTGAAACACTGATTCCCATACAATCACTGAAGTTAAGCAACATCAACCTGATCAGTACCTAGATGTAAGCTTAGATGTGCAAGTGGTGTAATGGATAATGGCACAGAATTGTTAATTGGAGAGCTGAGTTCCAATTCCCATTGGGCTCATTATATTCACTTACATGCAAATACTCTTGGGAAAGGTATGACTCCACTTCTTCTCCAATGCCCCCCAGTTATTGGTTAATTAGTAAGACTTGTGTCATTAAAATCTCAAATGTCTTCTGGCTTTAAATAACCTGCAATGGGTTGATGAGTCATAGAAAATGAATCCATCAATCATTGACCTGGCATCTTCGTTTCAATCCTTTTTCTATCACTGTAACATTGTTCTTTTTCTATAAATATTTTAATGGCAATTATTTTGATGAGCTCTCCTCTTTGGTACCTTGTCACAAATTTAAGCATAGAACTAGATTGGCAGCTAGGTCTCATCATGTTACTGTTGAAATAGCTTGATGGAACTGTAAGTTCTATGCTAAGACTTTCTTTTCTCACACTTCTCACCTGCAGAACTCCCTTTCAGCTTCTTGCTTTTCTGTCAACTGTGATCTTCAAAAATTCAACTGCAACATCAATTGTCATCCTCTGTCTCCTTTTATTGTCCCCTCTCTCCTCAATAACATTTTCTTTGTTTCTTTTAGTCTCAGTAACCTCTTGCATCTTAGTGGCTTTAGGCTATCCTATCAGCAGGTGTATAATATATTGTACTGCCATTTTGTCAATGGTTTCTGGACTGTGCAATAGTCTCACTGCCTACTTGTCATCTACCAAATATGAAAGTAATCAAATTGAAAATGAACAAAACTAACAAACCCAACTTCAGTAAAAAGTAGACCCAGTTCTTAAACCAATGTAAGGGGTCTACATTTCAACTTTCCAGAAGTGGAACTCCATCTTCTTCAATCACAACCTGACCTGTTCTTGTCTAAAACAGGTATCACTGCCTCAATCCCTATTGCAGGAGCTCATAATCCTGAGCTATTCACCCATATAACAAAATACAACCACCTAAATTGCCACAGTCATGGGCCTGATGCCTATACTGAGGACACGTTTCTCTGTGGCAGGGGTACAAAAAACAAGGATCCTGATCTCCCATATATGTTTCCACATGGCACTTATCCATAGTACTACATTCATCTTTGCCCTGTATCATCCTCAGGATGAATGGTCAATAATCTTTGATTGAATATCAGAGAGGATTGACAATATCCTCGCTGAATACCACTCAGCCAACTTTCACATATGTGGAGACTTCAGTGTTCACCCCAAAGAGTGTTTAGTCCACTCTGATGCGAAAGACAGATATTGCAGAGACTTCTCCATCACGTATGAACTAACCCAGATCATTGAAGAACCCACCCAAGTCCCAGATGTGACAGGTCAGCAAGTGAACTACCTCAACCTTTTTTTAACATCATGGCCTGACAAATCACATCAGATCCTTCTCTAGTCAGTGTTCAGATTGACTTCAAACTAATGTCATCCTCTGATTAACCATTCCTTAGAAGAGTTTTTCACTATGCAGAGGTAGACTGGGACAACTTTCGATCCTATATGACAGATACTCCTCTTCCAACCTTCTTCAAACATGCTGCCCCAAAACTACTGCCCTAATCTCTGAATGGATCCTTTATACCCATTTTATGCCCCCCTCCCACTAAATCCCAACAAAAACCAAACAGTCAGTCTTGGTTCACCCCCAAATAGACTGCATTCATAGCTCACCAGAACTACTACTTCAAAACTTATTGCAAGGAGTGGTGTAGTCTAGTCCATTTTTCAGAACCCCCAGGCAATTGCAGTAAGAAGGTACTGGAAAATGCAAAGTGCAACTATGCATGATCTGTCCAGGCCAAGGTTGAAAATAAACAAATTGGATCTCGCAAATCCTGGAAAATCATCAACCAAATTATGAACAGCAGGCATAGCAGCTGTGTTCACTATTATAAATGACCCCAAGATCATATCATCATTGACAGACAAAGCAAAGTTCATCGCCTCGATCTTTTCCTCAAACTCAATTTTAGATAACAAATGCTATCCCCTCCCTAATTTCCCACATCTCAATGAGCACCATCTCAGTAATAAACTCATTTTAGCAAGAGAATCTCTAAACTTATCAAAAACCTAGACCCCAAAAAAGCCACTGACCCAGACAAAATTCCAGTGGTCATCCTTAAGAGTATTAGCCCAGAATTATCCTCAGTTCTAGCAAAGTTATTTAACCATTGCTTGGAGGAGAAATCTTTCCCAAGCATGTGGAAGGTGGCAACAATATGCCTGGTTCTTCAAGAACATGGGCAAACTTTCTCCCACCTCACAGTATAGACCCATTATTCTCTTCAGTATCATCAGTAAGCTTTTGGAGGCCCGAAGTGGAATTCCTATATACGATCCAAAGATAAAGATGCAGGTAAAATGGTCAGCTTATTGTACTGCTTCAGTAAGTACCTGACTTCTCATACTATCCTCTATCTTTATAAGAGCCAGATCAGGACAAAAATGGAGTATTGATGCCATATTTGGGCAAGAACTGCACAGACTTCACTTTCAATTCTTAACAGAGTTCAAATGCATCTCGGAGTCCTTGTTGGAGAAGAATTATTTTCCACACTCCAACCTCTCTACAAGATGTGGTTGAGTCTCTCACTGCTCTGTCGCTGCTACCATGGAAAGTGCTTGAATGAACTGCATCTCCCAGTTTCACCAGGGCAGATCTTCATGGCTGGGACTTGCCATGCGATCTAAATAGTGCCAAACCATCTACATTTACTCTGTATTTCATCTGCAAATTCCACTCAAAAAGCTTCTTCCCGTGAACCACTGCCCTATGGAACAGGCTCCTTGGAGGATGTTCCCCCAATCACTACAATCTTAACCAGTTCAAGTTTAGAGTCAACCATTATCTTCTGCACATATCCAAATGAACTACCCCTTATCATAACCCTCTACCTTGAGTGGCTCCTGGGCCTTGTACAAGGCAAACCTTGCTGTAGAACAAACAAAAACCACCTTACTTGGGTTGAATTGATTTTAAAAAAAAAAAAAAAAAATTGAATGTGACACATGGCCTGTTTAACACAAATCCCAACATGTGTACATGTAGGCAAGGACAAAAATAACATAGTCCCTACAACCAGTGTCAGAATATTCTTTCCCTTTCATTTGTACAATAGGGAACTTCTATCACATGATCAGAATCTCTGAATAAGCGTTTCTTCATTCTTATTTGATGTGTCCTACCTGAAGGCAAGAACACAACAGGTGAAGAACAGATACTATGCTCTAATCCAAATCAGAAAGCCAAACGGCCACAATCTATTTAGTAACACTTGGACATTATTTTTTTCTTGGTGTTCTGTAATACTAGACTTGTCAAATTTGACTTATTCTAATAAATATGACTTGAATAAGAATTACTTGACAATTTATGACCTATATTTGTGTTGATTTTCTAAAATCTTTATTAATTTAATAATAAAATTCAAGGACAAACATTCAAAAAGTCAATACAAAAATACATGCAAGTGGGTGCTGGGAAGATTTTAGCTTGATCCACTTCCCCAAATAAAATCTTATCAATGACTAAGTATCAGATTACTAAAGTACTCTGTTAGAATGAGAATATGATTATTAAAGGAGTGTGTTCGACTGAAAATATCATTGTAGTATTGAAACATGAAAGCTTTCGTGTAGTGATTTAAAATGTTTTTATTATAATCTCTTATAACAAAAATATATATATATATATATATTTTAAAAAGAACTCTTCACTGCCAATTCAAGAAAGACATTCGGATTACTAACACAAAAACAGAGAATGTCTCATATCGAGAATATTTAGCATTGAAAAACATAAAGAAAAAAATTAATTATTTTTAATAATATGTGGAAATCTTCGCCTTTTACCTGAAGATGGTCGCGAGACCAGAAACGCGTGTAGTAAAATTATGGAAAATAAAGCATAATATTTTTTTTTTAAAATCCACATTACAACCAAAAATGTTTGCGGTACCTCTCTTCTTTTTAATATACACACTTTTCTCTCGTTGGAACCACCATAACCTCTTTCTTATATATATATATATAAAATAATAGATGGCCACTCATATTCAATACTATTGCAGGCTCTTACTCATGCACATTTGTGTTTGTTCAACACCCACAGAGCCAAACTGTGGTTTATAGTGCAGCTATTCTAAGCAGACCTTAGTTACCTGGGAGAGAGAGCTTGTTATCTAGAATGATCAACAATCTAAACAACACCAGCACACTCAAACCCTCGGTCACAATGACTTGTGACTTTGTGCTAACACAGCTATTGACAGCCCCAAGTTTTCTGTCTACCCAATTTCACTCACAAGACTTGGTTCAACACATGGTATGGTTTCAGCCACTTTCCAAAGGTGCCGCACTCTGGGATCGACTTGAACAAAATTAT